CTTTTCAGGACAAAGCACTGCTCACCCCCACGGCGGGTTATTATTTTCTTGGTAGATGCTGCGGGATATTAGGCAAGAGCAGACTTAGGGAGCATTTCTGGCTGGTGGGAGAGGGACCGGCAGACTCACGGTAGCACACAGCCAGCCAAGAATACTTTGTTGGCCCCTGAAACAGCAGAAGCTCAGATGCTTCACATAGTTTCACTTGCCAGACCACGGGGATTCACCTCTTGATTTGAGAGACTAGAAAGGCAGTGACACTAAACTCTTCTTTTTCTTAGGCATGAATAGATTTTCCTTTAAAAGAGGAGTATTAGAATAGGTAGTGGCAACAGGTTGGAGGATCTTCAGCAGCCTTAAAGAGGCTAAATTTTGTAAACTCATAAAAAAAGACAAGTATAGGCTATCGTATTTTCCATTTTTGAAACCTTTTTTCTTGTATGAAGCAACCATAATTTTATGACCCAGGGGGATACTCTCACCACTTGAAGCAGGGCAATGCTGCTCCATTATAAAGCAAAAAAACCCAAACTGTCTATATTTTGAGCTCATGCCCTGCATTTCTTGCCTTCTCTGTGGGGAAATCTCCCACAGCAGTCACGGGAATCCTGTGGGAGGACAGAGATGGTTGGCAGAGTTTGACTTACAGACTTCTGTAGAAATACCGCTAGTCCAGGATCTGTGATTGTAAGGAAAATATGTGTCCCAGTATAGCCCTGGGAAAGTTAGTACATCTCTCTACGCTAGTGTCCCTAGGATGTCTCCGGGAGGACTGGGGAGAAAGAAGATTTCTTTGCTATTTAAAAAAAAACACAAACAGAAGTTTTGTACAGGTCAAACAGATTTGCTTTCCTGGTGGTGGAGATGCAGTATATTAATCACTGGAAGATTAAATTCTTTGCTACATTTGGAGAAGAAAGGAGGGCTACTGGCTTTGTATCACCAAAATCCTCTCTACATCCTCAAAGCTGGGCTTGTAAAGAGGCTGAGATGGACCCAGGCACCTCCAGTTCCCTGCTGGGCTGCAGCTCCATGGGAATAGCTTTTATCACTGTGGGAGCAGGGTGGGCATGTTGTTAGTCCTCTCCATCCCAGAGCCAGACCCCCAGCTTCTGCAGCACTGCTGAGTTCAGGCACTGAGTGAAGTCCTGATTATGCCTTATAGCACTGCTGTGACATGAAACCTCCTCCCTTCTCATGGGCTGGGGGCGAAGGGGCTGCTCGGGCAGCCCCCACCTCGCTCAGCAGCGTCCCTGCGGGGGCACACGCACGCGGTGTTGGATGTTATGGGGCAGGACGGCACCAGGCTGGTTTCTTTCCAGAGGCTGGCCCGCATCTCTCCGTGCTTCAGTTTCTTCACCTGCACGGAGGAGAAGGTGACACTGAGTGCCTTGGAGAAGGGCTTTTGAGACCTGCAGGGTCTACAGGTTTGGGATGGTTGTTCCTAGCAACTTGGCTCGGAGTTAGGAACTGTCCCAAAGGAGTTTGGGGATGAACCTGCAACTCTGTGTGCAGTCAGTGCAACTCTGCTGTCCAGTCCCAGCCCACATCGTCTGGGGATTTTAAGAAGTTCGTTTGCAGCTCACCACATCTGCAGTTTCAGAAGGATGTTTCTTGCTGTGTTGCCTCTTCATAAACCCGCTCCTTTCTCAAGGTTTTATTGGAAAGACTTATTCTTACTTTAACTGGTGTATATTTAAGGTGATTTTCTTTATTTCTTCCTCCTTTAACTGCTGCCATCCGGAGGCCAACTATGTTGTTTAAATTAGATATTGTTATTGCTCTTTTTCAGCTTTGTTTTGTATTTGTCCTCGGCTAGAAAATCAAAATGTCTTTATTCACAACTCGGTTGGTACTGGCTCTGCAGAAGGTACATATGGCCCTTCAGCACTTTTCTCTGGCAAGAACTTGTACTTTAAGAGAAGAAGATCAGATTTCACTGTGTAATGTGGTGTGAAAATTCAGCTTTACAGTGCTGTATGGATTAAGATATTACAGGCCATTGTTTTACCCCTCACTGCCTGGAATTAGCAGCACATTTCATGTGATACAGGTCCCTTCCCTGCGAGAGCATCTCCCATGGGCCAGGCCAGGCATCCCCTTGGGGTAAACCACCGTCAGTCGGTGAAACGAGTGGGGCAAAGCAGGTTTGTGCCTGGAGGAGTGCCTGCCTTTTGAGGGGTTCACAGGTCCCTCGCGTCCCCTCTTCCCCTGTGCTTTGCCACATCACATTGCAAGTGTGCTCCTGCCCCAGCCCCTTGCGCTGCTCTCGGAGGGTCTGTGACTGCGGGAGCGAGGGCTGGCCCCATCCCCACAGCTCTGTCAGGTGTCCCTGGCTGGGGATTGGCGCCGCACGTTCACACAGCTCTTCTCTGGGTTGCAGGGTTCGGCGCTGAAGGGCAAGGCATGCGGTAGGAGCCAGCACTTCCCACCCAAGAGCAAGATTTGGTCACGCCGCACAGCCTGGGGCACCACGGGACGGACAGGACATGCGCCGCTTCGGCTGCCTCCTCCTTGGACTCCTCTTCATCCTCAGCACAGCCAGCACGGAAGGCTTTGCCCTGGCAGGGTAAGCCCCCGTTTTGTCTGTATCTCCTGGGTGTGCCCATCTGCGCATCGCGGCGAGGTGCATCTTTCTGGGGTGGTGAGGAGCCCTGTTCAGCTGCACACCCGTGAGAAGCTCACTGGGATGGCGAGGACGTGGGAAAAGGTTCTGCCGAGTCCTCTGGGAGTGCCTGGGGCTCAGCAGCCCTTGGAGGTGTTTGTTTTGTCACTGAAGCAAAAAAAAACCTCTTGGAGAAAATGCCCTGACTCCATTTAGTTCCATGCAGGGAACGTAAAGACACTCTGGCCCTTTTGTCCAGGAGAGTCAAAAGCTAACCAGGCCCTGGGCTGTTCATGAATTCTTATTGTCTCTTTCCCACAAGCCTGGGAGTGGCAGCTCCAACGATTCCCCTTCCCTTTCTGGGAAATGGGTCTGACATGGCACCCTGGATCCCAGCACAGCCTGGGCCGGCACGGCTCGGCTTCCGCTGGCTCAGAGGAAGCCCAGAGCTCGGTGCCCCAGTTTCTTCCCCAGCCAAAAAGAGCTCGAGCTCAACGCCCGCCCCCCAGATACAGCTCACATTTTCTCCAAAGTTTGTTTTTACATTGAGATACTCTCCTCTAGCATTAAACCTTTTGTATTCTGGTTGTGACTAAAACCACAGGCTGAATTCCTTGCTCGCACGCACAGGCTGCAGCTATAGCTTTATTCTAAATTTTGCAAAGCAAACAATTGCCATTTAAAAATTGCATTTTCTATAGCATTAATCAGTGAGGCCAAGAGAAGTTTTCTGGAGTTAATGGAAGCCATCTGATGTCCATGCTAATTCCCAGGCTTTTTATTCTAGTTTCTAATTGGGCTGGGAGGCTGAGACAAATAAACGAGTTCCTCAGTGGGACTGACCTGCTTAGGCTGAAAAATGTTGAAAAAAAGAATTTTTAACCCAGCCCACTTTGGCTGTTAACTTTGGGAAAGTGTTTGACTGGATCACAGATATCGTAGTAAGACTGGAGGGTGCATTTTTTCTGGTCTTTTTTTTTTTTTTTTGTGGTGAGCCTGATGCTTCCTGTGAAGTCACTAATTTCTTGGTAACCACAGGGGCATCCATTTCAGCAGCGTAAAAGTCTCAGAAAGGAAAAATCCACCCAGAAAATGATTTTAAGGAAAGGGAGACAATGAATGGAAGGAGAACTGCTTTGAGTAAATCCCCCCTAAATCTGGGCCCCGACTGCTGCCCTGGGACGGAGGGATTGTGCCGGGGTGAGTGTACGAGGAGACGTCAGGGCCTGTGCAGCCGGCAGTGCTCAAGCTTTGTGTCGCTGCCCTGAAACGGCTTGAAGTAGCCTCTGAGGTCATTCAGGCAATTAGCTGCTGCCATTTAAATAGCCCTCTGCAGAGAGGGACTGTCAGGCCACGACCTGGGCTGGCGTAAATCAAAGGAGCCTCTTTTTCCCCAAAGGGAGAAGTGGCGGCTTGGTTTTTTCCGCTGGTGTCTGACTTGTTCCCCTCTCCGCAGCCGCAGAGTCTGTGCCGCGGGGCCGCAGCGCCGGGCAGCCGCCCACACCGAGTCCCACGTCCAGCCCGTGTACCAGCCCTACCTCACCACCTGCCAAGGCCACCGCCTCTGCAGCACGTACAGGTGAGGACAACTGCCAGTCCCACGGACCTGCTCCCGGGGATGGAGCCAGATCCATCCCAGCCAGACAGTCACCCGTGGGGGCTGTGTAAGCAATGGGCGAGTCCTGCCTTGATCCCTGGGGAAGGGATTCCCTGGTCTGACCCACTGGCATGGCAGTGAAATGAAGGGGGCTTGGAGTGGGTGCTCAGACACCCAGCTCAGCCCCATCCTTGTGTTTCGCCCATCTACAGGGTTGCCTACCGGCGGGTGTACAAGCAGCTGCCCCAAACCCCAGCCTCGTGCTGTCCCGGCTGGAGCAGAGCTAACAGCCATGCGCTCAGCTGCAACAGAGGTAAGAGGAGACTGTGCCATCCCGGTGCCAGCGCTCACGCTCCCCCTCAGACCCCATGGGATGGGTAGCTCAGCTCCCTGGATGAAGCCCCAGGAGCCAGGTCTCTCATTTACTAGCCCTCTGCCTCTCAGGTGGATTCTTCTTGTAGTTTAAATTTTCAGTGTCACAACCAAATGCAGTTCAACTTCTGATTACTTTCCAGCCTCTCTCTGGCACCTCACAGGCCTTTGTCCTTTGGGATCACTTATTAACTTTATAGTTACCAGAGGATAAATAAAATCAGTAAGTAGTTTCCATATAAATCAGCAGTAATAGAAGTGCATTCAGGAGGCAATGTTGATGTGCAGCACAAAACACATCAGCAGCCGGTCAGTCCACAGGTGAGCTTGGAGAGCAGCACCAGGGGCTTCCCAGGGGTTGCTGCTGCCTGTCGGCCTTTCTCCGTCCCAGCTGTGCTGGCTGCAGGTGCCTTGGCCTCTGTCCAGGCTACAAAACTAAGCTCCTGTTCATCCCACCCATCCTGTGCCCCACGCACCCCTGGTCAGCTCAATCCCACCGCTGGGGCAGAGCATCCTGGTGTCGATGTAGGGGGGATATGTGTGCACATCCACGGTGACAGTGGAGGGAACTGAGGAGCCCCAGAGCTGTCTGGTGACTCTGTGCTTGTTTTTTGTCCTGCAGCTCTCTGCTGGGTGCCGTGCCAGAACGGTGGGAGCTGCACCTTTCCCGGCAGATGTGCCTGCCCACCCGGCTGGATGGGGCAAGCCTGCCAGACAGGTACTGACCGTGCGGTTCCCCTTCATCTCCCGGCATCAGGCCTGTCCTGCTGCTGAAGCAGTAGGGTTGCCATGGGGCTCTGGAGGTCCTCTGCCCAAAGAGAGACCCCTCGGTGTGGGACAGGGACCAGCGCTGTGGCTTGTCACCGTGCCTTGGCACATGCCTGCTGCTACTCAGAGCATGCACACCCACGCATATTCCTCCAGGGCAGTGACGCCTGATGGTCTGACCAGGAAAGGACGGGAAGCTCAGCTCCCAGGGAAGCTCTGACCTCCCTTTGGCTGCCTCAGTGCTCCCAGCCCTCATGTGCAGCCCTGGCACCTGCATTTTTTCTCCACTACTGCTCAACGCTGGGTCAGCACGAACAGGGGCTGTACTCGGCCGTGCCTGTGCAAAAACCCTCCTGCAGAGCAGCTGCTACTGTTGTGAGATTGTGTATTTGAAATGACCCATCTCCCAGGCTTTGTAAACTCTCGCTGTAAACTAAGACGCCCATTTACTGCAGAGACTAAATCTGTAAACCAAAAATATCCAGGAGTGGAGGGGGAAGTCTGGCAATCTCCAACCACTCCAGCGTGAGGTCAGCCCGGTGCTTCTCACCAGAGCATGGGGGATTCAGGCAGCGTGGTGCACACCAGCATGGTGCAAACCCCTGCCGTGGCATTTCCTGGCTTTCCACCCTCCTGTGAGGCAGAGCGGGAGCGCGTGGCATTGACCCACGCTGGGCCAGGCAGGGCTCAGCCCATCGCTGAAAACTCTGGCTCCAGCACAGGGGGGAAAGGATTTTCCCACTGCCTAAAACAGATTCGCCTGGGCGTGGGAAGCAGTTCAGCTCATTTTGCTTTGTGGGAACAGCTTTAATAACTCCCCCGTGTGAGGAGAGGTTACTGGGTTTTGTACACACTTGAAAGGCTGATAGCTCCTTGCCACGGCTGGCTGGAACCAAAACCCCGGCCATAAATCCAGGATGAGAGCTGAGTGCTGCCTGCGCCCGCCTGGCCAGAGCTGAGACGTTTCTGACCACAGCTTTTGCTTCTGGCTCTTTTGTGGAAGGAGCGGGTGGAGGGGACAAGGCCAGATCTCCCTCGGGGTTAGCCCAGGTTCACTCCGGCAAGGTGCAAGAGGAAAAGCTGTCCCAGGCGCTGGCAGGTCTTGTGCTCACACCCCGCAGCGCTGAGAGCACGCAGAGCTGTGCTGGGCACAAACACCAGCTCGGTCTGGGGTCCCATCACATCCCCACCCTGTGTGAACCCACACGGTTCTAGCAGAGCAGCTTGTGAGGCTGAGATGTCTGTGCCCCTCATCCCTGATAAACACCTCCGCAGCACCCCTGCCCTCACCGAGCTGTACCTCTGCTTTCAGACGTGGATGAATGTGCCGACCAGAGCCATGGATGCGCTCAGCTCTGCGTCAACACGGCTGGGAGCTACCACTGTGCCTGCTGGGACGGCTTCAGCCTTGCTGATGACAACAAAGTGTGCCAGCCTCTGGTGCCGGCACCCGAGCCAGAAACCTTCAGCCAAGCAGGTAACCTGTCCCTCTGTTGCAGGACAGCCCTGGCTGCTCAGGGCCTTCAGTGAAAGCTGAGATTAACACTCAGCATCACGGGGTGGCTGGAGCAGGAGTGGAAAGAAAGAGGAGAGGGGACAACAGCCAGAACCTCTCAGCTTTATTGTCGGTGACCCAGGAGACTGTCTACCACCCAAACAACCTCCCCTGTGCACAAATCCAGCCACTGCTCCATCTGCAAGGATGACAGAGCCTGGCATGCGATGTCTGAGATATGGCTGTTCTCTCCATCATCATCATCCTTCTCTCAGGACAAGTCTGGAGCCACGAGAAGCGGCGGGGGGGGCGCGGGGGGGGCCGGGAGCCACGAGAAGCGGGGGGAGCCGCTGGTGACGGCCCATTATTACTTTTGGTACGCGCTGTGACACTTCAAACTCGTACCGTGAGTAATAATGCGCTGTGGCCAGCACAGGCATCACGCAGCAAACGCCTGGGAGAGCAGGGCACCATCTGCACGTGTCTCACAAGCCACCTGTCCTTATGCCCTGTCCAGAGCCCTCATCTGGGACAAGCCTTTGTACTTACCATGGGGCAGGGCAGATCCGGGTGCTCGCCAACCTGACAAGACCAGCTTTTGCCAGATGTCTCATCCTTTAAGCATCTCCCCACTGCCTGAAAAATTCCCGGCTTTGTTGCAGGTACTCCAGCGGCAGGCAGAGGTTTGTGCACGTTAGCAGCAGGACTAGATGCCAGTGCTTGCAGCAGGTGCTGGATTGATGCTCTGGGGGCTGGTCCCAGTGAAGCAGACACCAGGGGCTCGCTAGGAGAGGAGTGGGAAGCAGCAGAGCTTGGCCTGAGCCCTGCAGCAGTGTCTCTTCCATGTCATCCTCGGGCAATGGGCTTATACTCACTGACCTGCTTTTGGTCACTTTTTCAGGTCCTCCCAGTGAAATGAAAGAAGAAATGGAAGACCTAAAGAGCAGAGTGGAAGCACTGGAGCAGGTGAGAGTTCGGCATGCACCTCTTTCTGCCCTCACCCACCTTGTTGCAGCTTGAGGCCATGCTAAACCAGCTCCCAGCCGGGGCTGTTTGCAGCCAGAGTTTCTCTCCTCCCTGGCTCTATTTTTAACGTTGTGCTGGCCTAGTGCCGCAGCGATCCCAGCTGTGCTCCACGCTGCGGCAGTGCCCACGCAGCGGCTCTTCCAGCCCAGCAGCCCTTTGAACATAACCAAAGTCCTGGTGTGCCGCATCCCAGCACCAGGTGGTCCTCCAGGCTGGGGAGGACACGCTCACGGCTCCCCCTCTCCCTGCAGAAACTCCAGTTGGTGCTGGCCCCCTTCCACAACCTCATGCCATCCGCACCGGAGGACGTTGGCACAGACCCCATCAGCCGGCTGTCCCACTCCCTCCAGCAACTGGACAGAATCGACTCTCTGAGCGAGCAGATCTCATTCCTTGAGGAACGGCTGGAGACATGTAAGTGCCTGGAAAAAAGCAGGGTTGAAGTTTTTCACTCAACCCACAGTGGCCTTGGTGAGCAGATGCAGGCCAGCAAGATCAGTAACACATATGCCACTATTAATCTGTTTCTCCCTCAAGCTCAGCAGTCTGTAATTAATAAAAGATGAAGACAAACAGCCCATTAGCTTAATTTCAAAGCTGCATTGCTATGGCTGCACCATCTGACCGCCCTTGTAGCGGCCAAACATCTTAAGACTGGCACATGGAAGCATGACTCTGGGGCAGAACTGAGGGAGCCCACTGTGAGCAGTGGGTCACGTCTCGCAATCAGCACCCTCACTGGCTCTGTTCCTTTCCTGTACCATTATAACTTGGTACTTCGAAAAAGAAGCCCCAGCTCTCAGGAAATTAACAGTCCAAAAAGTCAATCACGAAAGTTTAAGGAGCGTGCAGAAGCTGACAGATTTATGAGCCTGGGAATTCTTAGGCATTTCTTTTTGAAGTCTACAGACCCGTCCTTTGCCAAGCAGTGGACCAGAGAGGGTCTCATAAGTAGCAAACTGAAGGAGACACTGGTGAGAGTCTGAACACCTTGTTATGATAGTCTGAACATTTTATTACAGCCCTTTGCAGCTTATTTTCCCACTGAATAATTCCAGTCAAACATGCTGAGAAGCCGGTGTGCAGCAGCAGCCCCGTGCTTGTAGCAGAGGGGTGAGGGTGCTTGCAAAGACCTCAGGGGAAACTGTGTCTCAGGGCAAACCCAGTCCCAGTTCACTGCTTGCAGTAATGGCTTAGATATAAAAGACTTCCCAAGAATGGCTTTGAAGACTACGTAGCTGCAAATAGACATTTAAAAAAACATCTTGGGAAGGTGTAATCATCAGAACAAATGAGTGTTCCAGCAGACTGAGTTTCCTAGTATTGCCCTGTACGTATTATTAGTGACAGCACTGAGGACTGTGAGCAGTATCACAAGGTAACCTGGATTTATTCCAAGGCGTGGCTCCAAAATCCTGTAATTAACTTCTGCCAAGCCCGTTCCAACACGCAAAATTTGACTTTGTCCTTCTTATGGGCTTGAAAGTCCCTGGAGGATACAAAACTGTCCTGTGGTACTCCAGCTGTGCTTCGCAGAGCATTTCACAACTGAACGCTACGATGTAGTTACCTGTGCAGTGGACCAGCCTGTAAGAACTTAAAAAAAAAATAAAAAAAAAATACACCTTGTATCTTCTTTAAAGCACCAGTGATGGCACAAACTGTGAGCCGTAACCAGTTTAGCCCCTCTGAATCTGAGTTACCTCCAATTCAGAACCGGCTGTGTCGATGCTCGGCTGTCACTCAGCCAGTTAGCAGCAGGCCAGGCTCACGGCTGCAGGGGCTGTGCTGCCCAGGCAGCGGGGACTTCAGTGACCATCAAGGGCTTCTGACTGCTGTCACACAGAGCCAGCCTTGGGTGCCCAGCAGAGGGACAGCAGCAAGCGTGGGTGACATTCACAGAGGTTGAGGTCAACCTCATCTTTCTTGGGGAAAGGGAAAAACCAAACCCAAGCTAACGTTGTTGGCTTTTTTTGTTTTTTTTCCACCTTCCCAGGTTCCTGCAAGAATGAACTCTAGCAGAGCGCCCAAAGAACTGGAGCAAGCTGAGTACATCCGCAGCTCTTATCTCCTTCTCCAGCCCCAGGCTGGGGACGAAGCCACGTCATCTGCAGGAAGGCACAGGGTAGCAGAAGGCTGGTTTCCCATCAGCATCTCCATCAGCTTCTCTTCCAACCCACCTTATCAAAGGTCAAGCAGTTACTTCCCAACTGGACTCTGAGCCCTCAGCATCTCACTCCCTTCCTGCTGGAGAGGCAGAAAATAAATGCCTCACCTCGTGCCATTAGTGCCTGCCTGGCTGTCCAGAGGGACCGGCTGCATGTGAAGCTGTCTGGTGCTGAGCTTTGCCTGGCTTTTATTTAGCATTACCCTGGGACATCACATCCCAGGCAGCACAGACCTGGCCCCGGCAGGGTAAGCTGCCCCCCTCCCCACATCCTCCCCTCTTCCTGCTCCCACATAAAGGAGGCAGGAGCACGGTCAAAAAGGACTTGTGGCAGAGGGGGCTGCCCCGAGGCAGGCATCATGGCAGGGAATGGGTGAACGGTACTGTGCGGGCGGGGGACAGGGAGTGGGTGCCCATCCCCGCAGCTTCTGTTCTGCTCTCGGGGACCAGCCTCCCTCCACGAGTGCAGGAGGCTGGCTGGTGCCTCACCCACAGCAGCTTGCTCTGAAATTACCTGCTCCAGCTCACAGTCTCCCCGCACCATCCCTGGGCCCTACAGAGCAGGAACAAAAATGGAGCTTTTACATGGGCTTGAAGGTGCAGAGAGTCTGTATTTTTATTGCTTTAATACAAAACCTTTCCCTGCAACACTCCCATCGCCAGCACAGAGCAGACGGGAGCAAACCTGTGCCACTCAGTAGCACCAACAGGGTGAAGCCAAGGAGGGAGGGACAGTCCCCTCTGTGCCTGGATTGGGGACTGGGGGCTGGCAAGCCGAGG